GTTGTCCGATCCGGCTCATTCCGACTTATATACTACCTGCAAAAAAAAAAGACTTTTGGGAAAGTTTCAGCCCGATAGCTTTAAAACTGAGAGACTAGTTTTCGTAGAAACGGAGGGACAGACGGACATGGCTAGATCGACTCGTCTAGTCATGCTGATCAAGAATATATATATTTTATGGGGTCGGAAACGTCTCCTTCACTGCGTTGCAAACTTCTGACTGAAATCATTATACCCTCTGCAAAGGTATAAAAACTAATCGTTCGTAAGCTTACCCTACACTCCCCTACTTCGCTGCTACGACGGTTTTGCTTTTGACGTTTACTACCACTAAATAAATTTGTATACTTTTTTATACTTTGACTATATTTGACTTTGAACAAGAATGGAAGTTAACTTCGGCTTGCCTTGCAGTTATAATTATTAAATTTAAAACAATGAAGAACGCTATTGCGAGTACCTCGACTTCAGATACCCGTTACTCAGCTAATGGAACCAAAGGGAAATGGAGATATGCAAGCAGCAGAGCGAGATTGAAATGCGCCACCTACCCGTGATCTCATTATATGATCTCATTATATGGTATGTAGTAGCCACAGTCTTGGGCGGTTAGTGGGCGTTAAAGAGGACGTGGCGCGCTGCTGAAACAAACTTGCGCTGCGCGGGAATCTCAGGAATCTGCATGCCTAATCCCAGTATTGTAGCTCCTATAGTTTCCGAGATCTTAGCGTTCATACGGACAGACGGACAGGCGGACATGGCTAGATCGACTCGGCTAGTGATCCTGATCAAGAATATATATACTTTAAGGGGTCGGAAACGCTTCCTTCTGCCTATTACATACTTTTCGACGAATCTAGTATACCCTTTTACTCTACGAGTAACGGGTATAAAAATGATATTCCCAATAGCATAAGATAATTTGTCAAAAAACACCGAAGCTATGATTTGTTTCATATATGATAAAATTCAATACGAAATTCAGAACTAATTAAAAAATTTTATTTCCAAGCGGAGGAGGTTATATTTTAAAAAACACCAAAGCTATAATTTGTATCATATTATTTTCCCCCAATTTTCGGATCGTTCCTATGGCAGCTATATGATATAGTCGTCCGATTTTAATAAAATTCAAAACGAAATTCAGAACTAATTAAAAAATGTTATTTCCAAGCGTATGAGTTTATATGATAAACAACACCAAAGAAATAATTTTTAAACATTTTTTTCCGATTATTCCTATGGGAGCTGTAACATATGGTTGTCCGATCCGGCTGGTTCCGATTTATATACCACCTGCAAAAGAAATAAGACTTTTGAGAAAGTTTCAGCCCGATAGCTTCAAAACTGAGAGACGAGTTTGCGTAGAAACGGACGGACAGACGGATATGGCTAGATCGACTCGTCGAATAAATATACTTTATGGGGTCGGAAACGTCTCCTTCACTGCGTTGCAAACTTCTGACTAAAATCATAGTGCGCTCTGTAAGGGTATAAAAATGCTGGCTTATAATAAATAGACTTAAGTTATAGTCAATGTTTTGCATATTTTTAAAGTATACAAATTTATTTAATAGTAGTACTTAATAAGTATACGTATATATTCATAAGGAATTTTCTGACTTTAAACCCTTGCAGAGGGTACTTTAAACATGAGACGTTACCAACGGTTTGAAATTTTTGCAATCGTCATAAGTTATGTTGACACAGGTGAAGGTAAAAACCTCCCCGATCGGACGACTACATCCAACGATCGGCTTAAACTAGAAACGGAGTTTTGATGGAATTTTGCACAGTGTAAGAGCTGTAAACTTGGAACTTGGAAATCGTGTTTTTGTACCCATTACTCGTAAGCTAAAAGTTTTTTTTATTCGACGAAAAAGTATGTAAGTAGGCAAGTGTGTAAGAAAGAAGCGTTTCTTGATCAGGATCCCTACCCTGGCCATGTCCGTAAGTCCGTGTGATCTCAGAAAATTTAAGAGTTAGAGAGTTGAAATTTGAGTATTAAATTCCTTAACTACGTAGACAACTCAAGTTTGCTAGGTGAATATGAAACTCTCACTCTAACGGCCATAAACCGAACAAACTTTGGCTCCTACAGCTTTAGTTGTAGAATAATGTGTAGGTGACTCTTCGCTGCTTGTAGTTATATATCCATCTCCCTTTTGCGCTCTTTCGTTTAGTAACGGGTTTCTGATAGTCGAGGCACTCGAAAAGAGCATACCGATCGAACAACTATCACTGTGGACGGCAGTACACGTAGTGACGAAGAGCACCATGAGAGTGTGCGGGGCGACTACCTATATGTAGCCGCAGAATTGAAAACCTACAGCGATGGTCCGACCATAACAAGTGATACGATCTACTAAATAAATGCACTTTATAAAGTTTTTGTCATTCGGCACGCCGCAGTACAATATGCCTATGTAGGCAATTAGCTTTACTTATATATATAAAAAAAACTAGTGACGACAACTTAAAAAAAGTTCTGGTATCAACTTATTTGACACAGATACGCCACATAGCGTTCATTTCTATCGGCTGTTTGCGAGACCTCACCAGCACGCCATCTAGCTTTCATTCCTATAGACGATAAGTGGTGTGCTAGTGAAACAGCCGATTTGCTTCATGAATATATCTCCATCCCTGTCGCACTCTTTAATATGCTAATTATTTATTATTGTTTGGTTGTAACTGATCCATTTTGAATAATTTTTGGCTTGTAGACTGGTATCACTGAGGACGGCAGTACACGTAGTGGCGAAGCGCGCAAGAGAGCGTGCGAAGACAACTACTATATATAGCCGCAGAATTGAAAATCTGCCATTATGGTCCGATCGTAACGAGTGATACACCAATGGAAAGGTATCGCACTAACTAAGAAGATTGCATACCAAGACTTTCGAAATACAGATTTGTTTGGGAGAAAAAGCGGTGAAAGTGTAAAAGTAAAAATTTAGAAAATTGGAGCTGTTGGATACGGTGGGGATAAAAGCCCCCGGCTGTTTAGCTAGCTTTATTTTTACTGAGAATACGCGTCGAATGACACCTCATTTGTTGAAATCCGATGTCCCGTTCAAAAGTAATTTAAAAAAACAAGATTTTCTTCTTCTTCCCAAAATGAAAATGTTTGTCCCTTTGTTTGTGGGTTTGTATGCATCCCATCTTAGTTTTACGGTTTTGAAAATCCTATAGGTGTATAAAGGAGCTTGAATTAGAAAACGTTTGTTGTACCACTTTTGGAAAACCCCGCTAGTTTAGCGGAAAATCAAAAAAAAAGGCCTGATTTAAAATGCTTATAGTATCAACTTATGCTACAGAAACGTGCTATATATCTCTTAAAAGATAATTCAATTTGCTAAATACCCTTCATATACTAAAGTTGTCTGAATATAATAGATTTCGAGTTATGACAAAAAGTTATTTTTTAAAACCACTTTTTGACTATTTTCCCAAAATTGAGTCGAACGATTTCTTTTTAATTTTCAAATCATTTAGCCCTTGAGATTCCCCAACTTTTGATCTATAACACTTTTTGCCCTAAAAATTACCGTTTGGAAGATATTAAGCGATAAAAAGTGCAACTCGTTTCAGCTCCGTATACGAAATATTTCATACTTATTGGAATAAACAAGAAAAAACCAATTTGATGAAAAATTCTTATTAGATTTTTTCAAACGGTAAATCTGTTAGGGGCCGTCCATAAACCACGTGGACAAATTTTAAGCACTTTTTTTTTACCTCGACCCCCCCTCTCCCCTCGTGGAAAATCGTGGACTTTTGACGAACTACCCCCTCCCCACAAAACTGTCCACGTGGTTTATGGACGGCCCGTTTTGGTTTTAGAGTCCTTTACTTGCATGAAGCTAATCGAAATAGGAAACATGATATATTTGTTCTACCACTTTGGAAAAACCCTCTAGGTTTCTCTTGGAATCTGAAACTATACAGCCCTTGAGATTCCTATACTCAACCCTCCTCGAGGGTGCCGACTGGTAATGACGCTACAGTGCCTAATTTAAGGTGGCGTTCAGCTAAGATTAGGGGTCGAATCTGTGTGTTTGGTTTTCAATAGCCAAGCCATATGGGGACGACTCCTAGTCATGGTATTGGGGTACTTAAACTCTTGTGCAAAAAAAACTTCTGATATCAAACAAAAACACCTCTTAAAGAGGTAAAAAGTAGTGGCGAAAGAGCTCTTAACAAAAATTTCTGATATCAACAATTGTGACGAAAAATGATATTACATTCGATAAAATAAATAAACTATATTAAATTTATGTATTCGGCACGCTACAGCAGAAAATTTACGTGTAGGTAAATAAATATTTACTGTTGTGGGCCGAAATCATAAATTTAATATAGTTTAATTTAAAATTTAATAGAGATCACAAAAATTTTAATTTGTTAAAAATTTAATTTTTTCAAAGTTATTTTAAGCCATACGTCATATTAATCAAAAATTTGCAACACACTTGAAATGCATCCTTCCGGCCGATATAACGGCAATGAAACATACCTCCAAAATTTGTTTGGAGATTTTACATAACATCTAGCTTTTCCGCTTTTCATAGTGGTGTTTAAAAAATGCGAATAATTTTTTGCCTATTTTCGAAATGTGAGTGTTCCTTCAACAAATCTTTCCCTCTTGTAAGCGATCCGACCGATTCAATGTCTTAAGGTAAAATAATATAGCATGGAATGAATAGGCCTGGTAAAGGAAACACTCACTCAACACTTTGGCGCTGCTGACGCCCGTGACATTGACGTGCCAAGCGGCGGCGGGAATTCAGGGAATTATGATCGTCACGCCTGTTGGTTGTTTACCATGTCTCCATACTTTCAAGGTTACAACTATTTATCTCATTGTACACCTCAATCTGAGTAAACATCACCATGCTAACAAACTAGCCACCCTATTTACAAGCAATTGGTAAACCACCATAGTCCAAATTTGCTATAAAAACCTGCGTAGGTGGGCAAATCCGTCAGACACATTCACCATGCGCTTCTCGTTCGTATTAGTCCTGGTCGTCCTAGGATGTCTCCTGTTCGTCCAGGAGGGCAGTGGTGCATCGAGCACAACCACCACCGACTCCTCGACCACCACCACCACTGAATCGTCCGACACCACAACCACCACAACCACCTCCTCCTCCTCCTCCTCGGCCACAACCACGACCACCGCCGCCTCGGCCACCACCACGACCACCACCACCTCTTCGTCCTCGTCCTCGAGCGCGGCTGCCCGTCGTCGCAGAGCCGCCGCCCGCCGCCGCCGATTGGCTCGGCAACGTCGCAGGCGTCAACAGCGCCAAAGGCGCCGCCGCCAACAACAACAGCAACAAAGGAGACGCCAGCAAGGGCGGCAACAAGGGCGGCGGCGGAACCAGGGATAGGCGAAGTTCCAAGCCTAGCGGGTTAGGGGTCTCTTTCTATAAACCCAAAAAATTTTAATCACTATTTGAGCCTGAGGTATTGCATCGGAGATTTAGTAAAGCATTTCATTATTTACAAATGTGGAAAGAAGTTAGTCCCAACAATTCGATACTTGTGTACAAATAGGTAACCTTGGCATATGCCAACTATTTATAAATTAAGTTTTCCATCACGCGATACATGTAAAGTAAAAGTTCCTATTTATGATTATGAGTGTTTCCTGTACCAGGACTGTTCATTTCATATTATACTATTTTACCATGAGACATTGAATCGGTCGGATCGCTTTCAAGAGGGAAAGATTTGTCGAAGGAACACTCACATTTTAAAAATAGCCACAAACTATTCGCATTTTTTAAACACAACTATGAAAAGCGAAACAAACTAGATGTTTTGGTATGTTTCATTGCCGTCATAGACTGGATATCGTCCCGAAGGATGCATTTCACGTGTGTTGAAAATATTTTATAGGCTTAAAATAACTTTGAAAAATTAAATTTTCAACAAATTAAAATTTTGGCTTTCTCCACATTTGTGACGAAAAATGATTTTAAATTAAATAAATACTCGTACATACATTATACGAAATTTACTCATTCATAGCAATATGTTAAATCTTTCTACCCACACTGTCATTATACCCTTTACTCAAGTAAAAGGGTACACTATATTCGTCGGAAAGTATACCAAGAGTATGTGAGTTTCCGACCCATAAAGTATATATATTCTTGATCAGCATCACTAGTCGAGTCGATCTAGCCATGTCCGTATGTCGGATCGGTCGGATCGCTTTCAAGAGGGAAAGATTTGTCAAAGGAACACTCACATTTTAAAATAGCCAAAAACTATTCGCCTTTTTTAAACACAACTATGAAAAGCGAAACAAACTAGATGTTTTGGTATGTTTCATTGCCGTCATAGACTGGATATCGTCCCGAAGGATGCATTTCACGTGTGTTGAAAATATTTTATAGGCTTAAAATAACTTTGAAAAATTAAATTTTCAACAAATTAAAATTTTGGCTATCTCCACATTTGTGACGAAAATGATTTTAAATTAAATAAATACTCGTACATACATTATACGAAATTTACTCATTCATAGCAATATGTTAAATCTTTCTACCCACACTGTCATTATACCCTTTACTCAAGTAAAAGGGTACACTATATTCGTCGGAAAGTATACTTAAGAGTATGTGAGTTTCCGACCCCATAAAGTATATAAATTCTTGATCAGCATCACTAGTCGAGTCGATCTAGCCATGTCCGTATGTCCGACTGTCCGTGTGAACGGTGTGATCTCTGAAACTAAAAGAGCTAGAATATTGGGACTAAGCATGCAGATTTGTGGGCTTCCTGCCCTGCGCAAGCTTGTTTCAGCAAGCTGCCACGCCCACTCTAACGCCCATAACGCTGAGTCCCGTCTAGCGACCACATCTGTATACCCTTGCAGAGGGTATAATGATTTCAGTCAGAAGTAGCATAGTAATGTATGCATATTCTTGATCAGCATCACTAGACGAGTCGATCTAGCCATGTCCGTCGTTCTTTCCGATTGTCCGTTTCTTCGCAAATTAGTTTCTCAGTTTTAAAGCTTTCGGGATGAAACCTTCCCAAAAGTCGTATTTCTATTGTAGGTAGTACATAAGTCGGAACGAGCCGGATCGCACAACACGTTTTCGGCAAACATACACGGTTGTAAATTTAAACGTTACTTAATATTAAAAATGCTGTAATTAGTTTATAGTTTTCTAAAAATCGGAAAGCTCTTTACATACAATTCTCCCACGGGAACAACGTCCAAGGGTATAGAAACTGCGGCTTGCCAAAATTGGCTTCCTTTCTTGTTAATATTTTGTAAAATTGCAAAGATTTGGTTCTTATTATCAATACCAGTCTACATGCCAAAAACTGTTCAAAATGGACCAGTTACCACCAAATAATAATAAATAATTAGCATATTGAAGAGTGCGACAGGGATGGAGATATATTCGTGAAGCAAATCGGCTGTATCACTAGAACACCATTTATGGTCTATAGGAATGAAAGCTAGGTGGCGTGTTGGTGAGATCTCGCAAACAGCCGGCAGAAATGAACGCTAGGTGACGCACCTCTACGGTGTACAATTTTGCACTCCCTTTAGCTGAGTAACGTGTATCTTATAGTCGAGGGCGTCGACTATATCGATTTCTCATGTTTTTTATTACCAGGGCTTAGATAAAATAACAAGATATGCAATATTCTTTAGAAACTGGGCTATGGGATATCAAACAAAAAACATCTCAAAACGAGGAAACGAGGAAAACTAGTGACAACAATATAAAAAAAGTTCAAAAGTACAATCTCATTCGGCACGCTTCATTAAAATCGTAAAGCTAGTTGCCTACATAGGCATATTGTATTGCGGCGTGCCGAATGACAACTATTTTATAAAGTGTATTTATTTAGTAGATCGTATCACTTGTTATGGTCGGACCATCACTGTAGGTTTTCAATTCTGCGGCTACATATAGGTAGTCGCCCCCGCACACTCTCATGGTGCTTTTCGCCACTACGTGTACTGCCGTCCACAGTGATAGTTCTTCGATCCCCAGTCGTAAATGACAGCATTCCAGCATGCGTTCTTTCATTATGAAATGGCATCAAAAAGGTGTTCCGGAAGTGATGAGTCTGTCCATTCTTTTTACACGGGTGCGGGACAAAAAAGAATGCACCCGTTGCATGCTTCTGGAAGCATATATCTGGAATGCACCTGGAAGTAACAAACTAAACACATTCTGGGTGCACTCTTTTTCAATGCACCTGGAAGCAACATACTAAACACCTTCTGGGTGTACTATTTTTTAATGCACCAGGAATTAACAACCTAAACACATTATGGGTGCACTCTTTTTTAATGCACCTGGAAGCAACATACTAAACTCCTTCTGGGTGTACTCTTTTTTAATGCACCTGTAACATGTACCCAGGAATGCACCTAGAAGCATTCAAAAACCAAATATCTGGAAGTTTTCCCCAGGAATACATAAAACTGGATTTCAATTTCATATTTCTTTTCATTTCAATATTCAAGAACGCAACTAATTTTTAATCGGAGTAACTCCCCTTCTGTACGGTGCTTTGGTGCTTCCTTCTTGTTTATGTACTTTTGTCATTTACGCAGTTCAGTCCTTGGTGTGCCCATTTATTTTTTGCGATTCTGAAAAATATAAAGCAAATTGAATATTATATATTTTGAAATATGAGTATATACATTACAAATATACAATATGTTTATTTTGTATGTACAATTTACATAAAAATAGTTATTATTTTATTTGTTTAATATATTTTTAGTTTGAATGTTCAGTGTACATGTACTGTGTTATTTTATTGTGTTCATATTGAACTAAATTATCTACACTTTACTTACCTGTGAAAATATTGATGTAAAATTGGTGGCAGAAAGCAACAAACTTTTTCAAAACACGTGGCACGAACTTCACTTTTCAGAACTAAAAATGCAACTGACGAGAAATGCAAGAGATAAGAAAAACCGCTCGCTTCCTTGCATGTTCCCTTTTGTCTTTATTATTTGTTTGTCAAGAGAACAGTTCCGAAAAAAGACGATTGCAAAAAAATGGGCATCGGCAACCTTCGGGTTTGAGTTTGGTTTTTTTACATTCCCACTAAAATGCACCTGGATGCACTATATTGAAATACACCCAGATGGCACCCAAAAGACTGCCCTCAGCACGCACAGTTGCTAGTTAAATTTGCACGCGTGTTGCTTTGCGTAAAAAAGATACGACCCAGAACTATTTCTTTCGGAATACGTTCCCGAAACGGGTGTTTGGGCATGCTTCTGGATGCATTATTCTGAAACACTTCTAGAAGGCACCGCAATAGAATGCACCCAGCACGCACATTTGCCTTGAAAAATTTGCATGCGTGCTGTTTTGCGTAAAAAAGGTACGACCCAGAACTATGTTTTTTTAAAACACGTTCCGCAACTTACGACTGGGTCGGTATGCTTCTTTCGAGTGCCTCGACTATCAGAAAGGGCGCAAAAGGGAGATGGATATATAACTACAAGCAGCAAAGAGTCACCTACAGATTATTTTAGCACTAAAACTGTAGGAGCCAAAGTTTGTCCGGTTTATGGCCGTTAGAGCTAAGGCCTATGTAGCCAAGGAATATAATTCTCAAGTCTCAACTCTCTAACTCTTAAATTTTCTGAGAACACACGGACTTACATACGGACATGGCTAAGCTAGGGATCCTGATCAAGAAACGCTTCCTTCTTACACTGGTAGAAAAAACACGAAGTGAACTCAAATATATTTTTATTTGATTTTTTTTACTCCCATGCATAGTCATATTAAATATTAAAACCTTTCATTTAAATAAAAAACATATTTAAGCCGTATGTCAAATATGTAAGTATTCAATTCAAAGTGATTTTTATTTAAAAACAAGTTAGTCACATTCAAATCCAATGTGGCCATCTTGGTTTTAACTATTATAAAAAGTAGTTCAATTCATAGTATATTTGATGGTTTTTTATATTTCAAGTAAATACTTTTTCCATTTGTTCGGAATATGAACTCTTTTATTTTGAATATAGAACGTTTTCAAAATTTGTATTTGACCAAATAATTGTAAATTATAAATCAAATACATATGTATGTATGTATATGTATTAAGTTTGTGACCCATATACACAACATAATTTAAATTATTAGTAATTTGCAAAAGAAAAACAGCTTTAATATTTAAAGAAAATGGTTTTAGTTACGGCTGCCCAACCACCGGTAGCCTCTTTCTATTTCCATGACAAATATCATAAGATTTGGCTTTGTAATTTACTATTAAAAGTACAAAAACATGCTTAGCCAAAGAAAAAATGTGCGTGCATAGTAAACGCTGGGCCGTAACCAAAAACTAAAACCAACGGCACAATGTGCATACTTACATACGTACATTCAGACAAATTAGAGACAAATATGAACAAGCAAAACGGAAAACGCAAGCGCGTCTTCTTCTTCCATTCGCATTTGTACATTGGCGGTCAAGAAAATATGTATGTGCATAAGAACATAAATATTTCTTGTGTACCGATGTTTTGACAATAAGATATGTTCTTATAATATACAGTGGCTCGCAGCTTATTTCGTGCAGCAACCTAAAAAAAGTTATAGTCGTTATTTCTGCTAAACTAAGAAAGATATCAGAAAAATTTAAATGCAGTATATTAATAGGGAGTATTAACATGTTTATTGAACGAAAGCGATTTTCTTCATCATAAAAACAAAAAAGTAATTTAATAAAAACAAAATGTACAGGCTTTTTCCATGCCGCAGCTTATTTCGTGCAGTATGTTTGAAGTAAAAAAATTTAACATTTAGTCCTAAAAATCGCAGATTTTATTATTATTTGATCGTTTAAATACTAACAAATACATATTTTATGAGTTTCCGAGCTGGGTTATACTTATATAAAGAGATCCAGGGGAGTTACCGAAATGGCACCACGCCCAACTATTGAGCAGCGAGAACTTGTGCTTAAACATTTTAAAAGTGGAAAAAGTCAGCGGATCATTGCAGAAATGGTATCCCTAAGCCCTAGTACAGTACAGTACATCATCCAACGGTTTGTCCGAGAGAACCGCATTGCAGATGAAGGCCGAAAAGCTCCAAATAAAATTTTCAACGATCATGAAGAGCGCCGTAATGTCCGGAAAATTAAGGAAAACCCCAAGCTATCGGCTCCAAAAATAGCTGCAGAGGTCGAGGACGAAATGGGCAATAAGTGTAGTCCTGATACGGTGCGTCGTGTACTTCACGATAATAACTTTAATGGTCGAGTAGCACGAAGGAATCCATTTATTTGTAAGACAAATATTGCTGCTCGGCTAAAGTTTACAAAGGAGCACATACTTTTACCAATTTCGTTCTGGGATGACGGTATCTTTGCTGACGAGTCAAAATTTAACATTTTTGGTTCAGAAGGACGACAATTTGTGTGGCGGCGACCAAATACAGAGTTGGAGAATAAGCACCTGAAACCTACGGTCAAACATGGCGGGGGTCACGTCATGGTTTCGACCTGTATGGCAGCCTGTCGCGTGAACAACCTCATTTTCATTGATGGCATCATGGACACCAACATGTACCTCAACATTTTAAAGGAGAACTTACTGTAATCTGCTGAAAAACTGGGCATACGCGATCGTTTTCGATTTTACCAGGATAATGATCCGAGGCATTCAGCAGGAAATGTGAAGTTTTCGCTTATCTGGAACTGCCCTCGTGTCTTCATAACGCCAGCACAGTCTCCAGATTTGATTGTAATCGAAAATTTATGGAAAATATTGGACATCGCTATAAGGAAGAGGAAAATTTCGAACAAAAACGATCTGAAAACTGCTCCTATGGAAGATTGGCCAAAAATTCCAGTGGAAACCACTCAAAAGTTAGTTTCCTCCATGGGAAATCGTCTCAAAGTTGTCCTGAACCAGAAAGGAGGACATACAAAATATTAGCTCTTAAATTAAAATTATTAAGTTAAGTAGAATCGACTGCACGAAATAAGCTGCGGCATGGAAAAAGCCTGTACATTTTGTTTTTATTAAATAACTTTTTTGTTTTTATGATTAAGAAAATCGCTTTCGTTCAATAAACATGTTAATATTCCCTATTAATATACTGCATTTAAATTTTTCTGATATCTGTCTTAGTTTAGCAGAAATAACGACTATAACTTTTTTTAGGTAGCTGCACGAAATAAGCTGCGAGCCACTGTATAAATATAATAAAATAAAATAAATGATACTAAATTGGCATATACAAGTTATTAAACTTAAGGACTTATTTGTACATATTTTCTTCCCCATTACTTTCACCTCTATTGTAAAGTAACGGCACGCGACAGATTTTGTCCGTCCTTTTTGCACACATGCAAATGTGTGTATGTACATATATACGAAATATTTTGACACTCCGCTTTGTAGCGAATCCCGCGATCACTTCGAAGCAAGCGGTTCTCCTGATCGGATGTAAAAGTGATTAATAGAGCTCGATAGAGAAGTGTTCATTTAAGTGTAATAAAAAAGTGAAAAGTACAGAAAAAAGGTGAGTCAAATAAAAATACAATAATTACTTAATATTAAGGCATGTGCACGTTGTTTTTGTCGCATTTTTCCTTTTTGTGTTTCTTCTTTGTTCTGCGCATTATTATTTCGTGAAAATTTAGATAATACATTAAACGAAATAAGCAAAGCTCAAAAGAAAATTACATTTAAAAACAATAAAATATATACGATTAGGTAATAAACATGAAGTGGATAAAAAATATGCGAAAGAAATGAAGAATATTAAAGGAAATTAAGCGAAAACCCGCGCAAACTAGATAAAAGGAGTAGAACGCACGAGAAGGAAAACACTAAAAAGGCGCAAAAAAGACGCTTTGCTGCCGTTGCATTCGGTTCTGTGGCGTCACAGTCGTTTCACCTATTTCTTTATAATATTTTTTGCTCTTTCACGTGATTTTTCTCTAAATCTAACTAATGTTGAAATTTTTAATAAATAAAAATGAAATAAATTTAAACAATATTTTGGTCTTATTTAAATCCCTATATATAAAAAAACCTACTCGAAACTTATTATAAAACTACTTAACTTTTTCTTTATAGATACAAATTTATTTCAACATATTGTACCCTGAGAAAGAAGCAATTTTATCTAGTAAATGGGACACATTTAAGGAAAAGGTTTTTTGCTTTAACGAAGAGCAAATACAAAACAAAGAGCGACGTAAACTATTGAAGACAGTTCAGAAAACTGTATCACTTGGTAATGTATAATTTTTTTTACATTTCTAAATTTTATCTTCTTATGATAAGCTTGACTTTTTCCAAATTATACCATTACCAAAAATCTAATAACATATTCTTATTCACAGATTACAAGGACTACATTTTTACTGTATTGCTCACATCTGTCATCTTAAATAATTCGTGGGCCGTCATTAAAGGAACCAACAAGCGAAAGAAATTATCACTACTGGGACGCGCAGGAAGGTTTTGTACGCACATGCAGGCTTACGAATGTGGCAAAACACAAAAATGTGTGATTATAAAAAACATTGAACGCTTTACTAGCTGCTCTATGCATACATATGTATCATATAAATTCTAAGAGTTACGTTAAGTACAAATGTATTTAAAACAAAAGTAATGATGACGTGTTAGCATTGTAAAAATAGAGTTTAATTGTTTGGATTATATGTTTACGTTTATTTTCATTAAAAACACATACTTATTTGGGTCTTTATTAAACGTAAATCACGCTTGTTTTAAACTACAGATTGGTTTAAATTGAATATGCACCATATTAATATGGCTTAAATACTATATTTAAATCAAACATAAAGTACAGTTCTTTTAACGGGGATTATATTTAATTTAAATACAATTTGTATTTATATTAAAGTTCATCCCAGTCTGATTTAAATATGAGAATTATTTAATCCAAATAAAAATATGCTGAGTTTGAGGGCGGGCTATAATTATTTTAACTATAAAAACCATTCAAATAAAATATTCTATTTACTGGAACTAAATATGAAAATATTTAAAATAAATATAAAAATATAATACTATTTACTATGGAACATATTTAATTTAATTATTTTGTACTATTTTAACATATTTGATCGAAATTAAAAAATCGTTGGACTTACTACGAGATTATTCAAAAAATAATTAACTATTTATCGTTTTCGTTTTTACGATTTTCATGTTAGGATCTAAACCGCTGGGAAAAATAGTTGAAACGTTGGCGAAATAGTGACATTTACGATGTTTTTTCTACCAGTGTACATACTTTCCTACTTACATACTTTTCCCCGAATAAAAAAACCCACTTAATTTCCAAGTTCCATGTTTACAGCTCTTACACTGTGCCAAATTTTATCAAAAACACCGTTCCCAATTTAAGCCGATAGTGGGATGTAGTCGTCCGATCGGGGAGGTTTTTACACTTCACCTGCGTGAGTATAACTTCTGGCGATTGCAAAAATTTCAAACCGGTAGTTTTCAAAGCGGCATTGGTCAGCTTCCCATTTAGCGTTGGAAACGTCTCGTGTTTAAAGTACCCTTTAAAAGGGTTTAAAGTCAGAAAATGAGTACTACTATTAAATAAATTTGTATACTTTGCAAAATATTGACTTTATTTGACTTTGAAAAATTCTGGCTTATAATCGGACCTATAACTCTTATGAAACGTTAAAAAAAAAACCGTCGTAGCAGCGAAGTAGTATACTTACTTACCAGTTACATCATAGAGAAAGATTTTTAAATTTTAATTTATAATTTAAACCCACAACAAAAGTATGACGTTACTCCCAATTTAAGGGTTACTTTTTTGTAATATAACTACATATAAGAATATTTGGCCAAGGAAATAAAACATAAATTGAAAAGCTGAGCAAACAGAGGTGAATGTCAAGTGTAATATAGAGGTAGTTACATTTACATACAGCCCGCAGATAAGAAGTATAAAAGCGCTCACATATCCCCAGGTAAGACACATTCAGCATGCGCTTCTCGTTCGTAATAGTCCTCGTCGTCCTAGGATGCCTCCTGTTCATCCAGGAGGGCAGTGGGCAGTCAAGCTCATCCTCCACCTCCTCCTCGGCCACCACCACGACCACCGCCTCCTCGGCCACCACCACGACCACCGCCGCCTCGGCCACCACCACGACCACCGCCGCCTCGACCTCCACCACGACCACCGCCTCCTCGTCCTCTTCCTCGGCGGCTGCCAGGAGACGCAGGCGTGCCCGCCGCCGTCGTCTGGCTAGGGAGCGCCAGCGTAGGGAGCGGAGGAGGCAGCGCCGAGCTGAGAGACTGCGCCTGCGACTGGAATACCAGCGCCGCCTGATCAATCGGCTACGCGGATAAAGATCGCTTGGGAAACATTTTGGCTATCTACAAATCACCACCACTGAACCCCACTTGAAAATATTTAGAAAACTCCAACACAATATTTTGAATTTAACAGCTGAAATAAAAACATTTGAGAATGCTAAGGCCGAGTATCTCTACTATGAGGTACCCGTTTCTCAGCTTTTAAATTGAAAATTGATAGAGCGATAGACCGCCTTAAACTTGGAGGACACTTGGAAAACTCGCAAAAATCGCAATAGGCACTTATTTTATTGACCGCCCACAGGGAATAGCCAGTCTGTAAAATATATGTATACACATATCTATATTATCTTTGGAACAGCTGTGCTCGGCCTCTGCCAGCACACCAGCACCAGCAGTACCATTTTATGCACTGAATCACTTCATCACCGAGCGCTTAATCAGCGCTGCTTTTGTATGAAAAGTGGTGCTGATTTTAAGATAAGCATGTCCTACGATTCATCACTGCACAAAAAATTGAAAAATTCATTACCATAGGAGTATTTTTAAGCACTAAAAAAGCGCTAAGGAGGCACTTTGCCCCCGTTGTTATGATTAATGAGATTCAGAAAGATTTACAGCGCTGTAAGCCTGTCAACTTCTCGCCCGCATTCTAACCATCTGGACTTTTTTTTGAAGTTTGTGGACTGTTTGTGGGCGTTTGAGTGCGCGTGGGAACATTTTTATTAGTCAATCGATGGGTGTTGACGAGAACAATACATTTCAGATAAATTTCATTTCTAGCACTTTAACTGTATGAGCCACAGTTTTGGGCAGTTTGTGAGAGTTTGAGTGAGCTTGGCACTTTGTTGAAATAAATTTTCGCTGCATAATAAACTCCAGAATCTGCAAGCCTAATCCCAACTTTCTTGCTTTTGTAGCTTCCGAGATCACAGCGTTTATACGGACGGACGGACAGACGGAAAGACGGACAGACGGTCATGGCTAGATCGACTCGGCTAGTGATCCTGATCAAGAATATACATTCCTTTTGGGGTCGAAATCGCTTCCTTCTGCCTGTTACATACTTTCCGACGAATCTAGTACACCCTTTTAATCTATGAGAACTTTATGTAAAATTTTTGAAATCGAACCAGTCATTAAAAAGTTATAACCAACTAATAATCAATATTTTTCAATTCAATCGAGATTGCACACAATATGCAGCAAATCAGCTGTTTTTACTAATACGCCACTAACACGCTAAGGCCGCTGTAGGCTAGTTGGTGCTGTAGGCAGTGGCGCTTCAGAAGATGAAGATAGGTGGCGCTATAGGCTAGGTGTGTTAGTGAAAAAAGCATAGTTGCTTTAAGCATATCTACATCCCTCTCGCACACCCTTAAGCTGAGTAACGGGTATTTAATAGTTAAGGCCAGCGACTATATAGTCTATAGAGTTTTCTCTGGGTTTAAGTAAATTTTATTAGAGTAGAGTCCACTTCTAATGCCTACTGAGATTTGTAGAGTACTTAGTTTTTGTCAAAATGTATAGGGTTACAGTCGCCACTTATTGCTACTTTACTCATTAGCCGCCAGGTTTAAGGTTTTTTTTAATATCACAATTGAACAGAAATATTAGGTCTGACTAATTTTGGTGGACTTTAAAGGCTGTAATAAAGGCTGTAAATATAAAGTGAATATGATTATTCCTATGACACCTATATGATTTAATTGTCCAATCCGCGGGATTTTCATACATAGTTGTTTACCATCTAAATAAATAAATATCATTTTTGATAAAAAACTACGGTTGCTTAAGTTTTACTTTGATATTTTTAAAATTGAGAGAGTTATTAATTTGTCCAAACGAAGTGGTCAATTTCCACATATCACAGCGCTATTGCGCTGGATTGTATTTGCGCCTTATGTAAAGTTTCGGAAGGTGATGCGGCTTCAACAAGTGGACTGCAACATTAATTGGAAAAGTACAAATCGTTTGATATACAAACTAATCGAGTAAATTTGGATGTCTCAAAATTGAAAACCTTTGCAAAACTGAACTTTAGTCCCACCATACAATCCCACCACACACAAATAATTTGATGTGACAGTGGTGGAAAAAACAAGTAAAGCTGAACAGAGATGCATCGAGAAAAAATACAGATTGCTCTTCCAGATACAAGGAGTCACTTCCACCATTAGCAATTGGACCAACTGCGTCTCAACTAGCCGCAAGATAGGTCCTTTCTCTGGGTCTACCCACCACGTAGCAGACACTCCAAATTTCTTAAAGCTCTCTTATAATTTGAATTCTTGATTTAAATAAAACCGCTACATGTGTCAACCTTAAACTGCCTTGCCTACCGTTAACATCGGTATCTCAACAAGTAGGCTTCAGTCGACCTTACAAGCTCAACACCATTTTCGATTTTGCTAATAAGAAGCTGAGCAAATATTTAGTGTTGTCTAGCCCGCACCAGGTATTTACCGATTACATGGTGTACACACACATACAAACATAAAAGTTAACTTTGCCCCAGATTGCGTATAAAAGGCAGACCAGTTTTCTAGATCAGACACACTACAATGCGCTTCCTATTCGCTTTTGGCTTCGGAGTGCTCCTGTGCCTGCTCCTGGCTCAGGAGGGCAGTGGGCAGTCGAGCTCATCCTCCACCTCCTCCTCGGCCACCACCACGACCACCGCCTCCTCGGCCACCACCACCACCACTGCCTCCTCGGCCACCACCACGACCACCGCCGCCTCGACCACCACCACGACCACCGCCTCCTCGTCCTCTTCCTCGGCGGCTGCCAGGAGACGCAGGCGTCTCCGCCGCCGCCGCCGCCTGCTTCGCGAGCGCCGTCGTCGGGAGCGCAGGCAGCGCCAGGAGAAGAGGAGGCGCCGGATGGAGAAGCTGATCGCCAGGCAGCGCCGCCTGATCAACCAACTTCAGGGATAAGCCTGAGTACTACAAAAATCAAAAAAAAAAGAAACAAACAATAAACTGACAAGTCGCATGTCGCTGTTTTTTACTGTCCTGTTTTAAATGTTGAGCTTTACCTTACCCAAAACTGATTTTGGTTTCTATAAATAAATCCAGATAATAAAATCGTTCGCTTTATAGCTATCACTTATAAATCCAAAATGTAAGCAGTTTGAAACGTATATTTAAGCTGTATAAAATAGTTTCTAAAATTCGTACCACTGGATATATTACTGCAGCATGATTTAGAAGACCAACTTTGATCAAACTTTGATAAAATTGTTCCAATCCAACAATACCTCAATTTTGGTGATTTTTTTGTCGAATATTTGTACATGTAAGTGTTTCTATCCACTTATAAACCGGCAAACGGAAAAGCTGGTTACTAAAATTCAACTGGAAACACACATACTGTTATATGTTTGGCCGTTCTATAAGAAACCGAACACCTTCATTTGGCCACATTTTTGTTTTCCTTAAAACTGTATGTAAGTAATAAGTAAGCACGTGTATCGGGACTTAACCAACAGCAGACTAATTTTTTTTGCTAAATTTTTTTTATATTTTTTTTTTAAACTCTTTAAAAAAAAACCATCTGTGGTTTTATCTATATCTTTATTTGTAGTAATTCGGTTGACTTCGTTTCTTTTGAGTTTATTTCCCTAAAACCCTTTCTTTCAAAATAAAAAAAACCGGTAAACATAATTTGTTATAAGTTTGAAAAAAAAATTTAAAAATGTTTAGGGCTGCCCCACAAGGGATTTTTAAATTTTTAATGTACGCGTCAGTTTATTTACTCGCAAAGTTAAAGGGTATATTCAAGGAAAAGTATATATACTTACAAAGTTTTATTAACGGTTTTAGCATGTCGTTATTAAACAATATGAAGATGATATATATAAAAAAAAATCTCATTTAAATTTAAAAAATATTAAATTTTTAGGTTATATATATATATATATATATATAAACCTGCTCTGCGCAAGAAGCTCAAGAATCTACATGCCAAGTTCAAACCTTCTAGCTTATATAGTTTGGACATGGCTATATCGATTCGGCTAGTGATTAGAATGTATATTATAGGGTTGGAAACGCATCCCTCTACCTGTTACATACTTTCCAACGAATCTACACTTGTTTCAAGCCCAAATGGGCTTGGAAATGTAACGGGTGCGAAATGAGCTCTAATTTTTATTCCAAGAACATTTCATTTTTAAACTTTTTAAGAAAAAGTTCGACCGAAATCAAGTATGAAATGCACTTGAACTTATAATTTATTATGCTTAAATTAAGTATGATGTCTTCTTAAACCAAGTCTGAATTATAAAATGTAGAATTAAAAAAAAAATTTTCTCCAGAATAAAGGCTTATTAAAATATTCGTACAAATATAATTAAATTTATTCATTAATCAAGAACAAGAAATTCTTAAATGAAGTATGAATTATTCTTAAACCATCATTAATTAACCCGTTACTCGTAGAGTAAAAGGGTATACTAGATTCGTCGGAGAGTATGTAACAGACAGAAGGAAGCGTTTCCGACCCCATAAAGTATATATATTCTTGATTAGGATCACTAGCCGAGTCGATCTAGCCATGTCCGTCTCTCCGTCTGACCGTCTGTCCGTCTGTCCTTATGTCCGTCTGTCCGTATGAACGCTGAGATCTCGGAAACTATACAAGCTACAACATTGGGATTAGGCATGCAGATTCCTGAGATTCCTGCCCAGCGCAAGTTTGTTTCAGCAGAGTGCCACGCCCACTCTAACGTCCACAAACCGCCCAAAATTGTGCCTCCTACAGTTTTGATGCTAGAATATATTTGTACTGAAATGTATTGTTCTCGTCAATACCTATCGATTGACCCGATTGCCACGCCCATTCTAACGCCCATAACGCTTAAATCTGTCTACCGCCGGTAGGTGGCGCATTTTTATCTCGCTTTGCTGCTTGAATATCTCCATTTCCCCTTGGTTCCTTTCGCTGAGTAACGGGTATATGATAGTCGAGGTACTCGACTAGAGCGTTCTTCCTTGTTCACTAGCAGAGTCGATCTCACCATGTCCGTCTGTCCGTGTGAACGCTAAGATCTCGGAAACTATAAGAGCTAGAATGTTGGGACTTGGCATGCAGATTCTTAGGCCTCCTGCGCAGCGCAAGTTTGTTTCAGCAGGATGCCGCGCCCACTCTTACGCACAAAAAACAAATATAGCTTTAAAATAAAAGTCTCGCTTATAAACCAAGGAAAACCAATTAGTACTTATAATTCATTTCAGTATTACGAATTATTCTATTGTACCAGAAGATAAATTTCATCTAAGTTGGTATAAGTTTCAGAGCATAAATGGGAATATGGTTATCTTCTTCTTTATCCAAACTTTCCGCTATTTAATGCAAATCACAAAATAAAAGTCACTGACTGCTTTTCATTTTAAAGTCCTTGAAAAATATCAGTCAGAACTTCTATAATAAAATAAGTCTCAAAAGAACTGTTATTCCGTGTGAGATATATAAAAGTCTTTAAATAACAGTTATTGGTTGTGATTATAAATCTCTAGCCCTACGAAAAAGGTTTTTTGCATGATTCAATAGAATGCTTCAAAATAAACAACTCTACGTTTTTAAAATACTTATATACATTTTTCTTTATATTTAATTTTACAGGACTTTAAAAAAAACCTGTTGTTTTCGTTCCCTGGTGAGCAAAAAAATCTCATCTGCACTTAAACGAATGTCCTACGGACGTTAGAATGGAGGTGCCACTTTCAAGCTCTTATTGGTCATGGACAAATGTATACTTTATAGGGTCGGAAACGGCTTCTTCAACCTGGTAGGTACTTTTCAGCGAATACCAAATACCCGTTTTCTTACTAGTAACTTGTGGGTGATTATGGCCGGGTGGAAAGTCCGAAACATGCTATGTACAAGCAATCTGAAAAAGATAGACGAAATTAAAAGGTTGTGCATTGTCGCCTGGTATCCTTGGCTTGCCCCATTTATGTTTGAATCCATCAAAGCGGCGCCAGCTCGAAGGCCTAACCAGGCTGCGGCGCATTTCACACGCTTCGCTGGAGTTCTGCAACTCGAATTGGCACAAAGGATGTCGGGGCATCCAGGAAGAGGGCGGGAGACAGACAGGATGCCTGATTCCACACCGACCGAGGCGAAAGTTTTGGCCTGCAGAGCTGGCAAAAAAGTTTTGCGCCGACGCTGAGGCTGCATTAAATTTGCGGCCAAATATGATTTCATGCTTCGAGCGGATTTTATCTTGCAAGCTCTTGCCATGGATCTTGTGATCTCGTCCTTTCACCTAACTGCCGCCTAAATGCGCCTAAATGCAATTTTTGTTACTTGGCAAAACTTTTCCCTGCTTCACCTTCCTGGCAGAAGTTAGTTTCAAGTTCTGGTTTTGTGCCCAAGCAATATAAAAGACGGAGGAGTGGCTTGGTCTGAACTTTTGTAATTATTTGATTTATCAAATAGCAGAGGCAGTCCATGCAGAGGAATGAAGGCGGCCGTACCGTGCTCTTGGCCTCAGTGTAATTTTATTTAAAAGTTGCAAAGCTGAAAGGGCCAGCTCACTTTTTTCGGATGGGGCATACCTTTCCTTGACACAGTCGTCTGGGATGAGTATTCAAAAACTAAATATAAATGACGTTTGGAAGGTCAAGGCAGGGGCTTAGGTATGAGCACCCAAAGAACAGCAAACATCGAGTAGAGCTCGAAAACACCTGTGAGGTATGCAAACAAAAAACAGAACCGGCGCTCTCTTTTTGTTTCTATGATAACACCCCGCGACAAGTCTACCAAGAGCGTTTTCCAGTTAAACCCAGACTGCAGGCGGGGAATGTCTTTGGCCTGGATCATTCTGATCGGTCTTCTGATCCCTGAGAGGAACACCACTGGAGGAGCCCTAGCGAACGCATCCCCGCACATTCGATTACGTAGAACGCACCTTCCGGCGATCAAGGTACGACACGTAGCCCATCGAACATCACGCCGGATTGTGCGCATTACCAGTTTGGACCAAACAGCTCTAGGGTCCCAGAAGATTCAGCATGTTGGAGCATTTAATGACTCCATCTCGACATGGATAGGTGGGAATACAACATGTGGCAGGTACTGAGGGTCGACGGAAAAACCAACCTCTACATACTGTTCTTTACCATCTACGTTAGCTACCTGGTGTATGTTTTATTCTAAGTCGGTGTTTCGTCCAATAAAAAGCGTACCCTCAAAAAAAATAGGGAGTTTATCATCAGAAATTCCAGACCACTTATATGTAATGGAAAATTATGGATTTTTGGACTAATTTAACAGGAAAACTGAACTTTTAAATTTATTAAGAAATCGTGGTTCATCGAGGTACATTTTTCCCGGGCCCTGTTCTATTACCAAATGTAGCGCCCACGTTTTGAGGCTAAAATTCAATTTTAAATTTAAGCTGAAATGCTTTGGTAAACAGCGAACCTTTCCTTTATTTCCGCGTTTCGGAGGCGCGTTCCTAAAGCGGTCGACTGGAACCAAGTTGGCAGCAATTCCAGAACTCGCATGAGAATCTTTTTCCTTCCTTCCATCGGAAAATTTGGAGTCCAACAGGTAGGCGAAGCTAATGGAACGGGAGCTTATCCTCACCGGGAACACAGGAGATGGATGATGGAGACGGGATGATAAATTTTGGGTGGCACCCTAAAATGTCTTCTTCCCTGGGTCCCAACTCTGAATGGAAACGTAATATCCGCTGCAAAACTTCAACGTTCTTTCCTCTTTTTATCCTTACAAATATAGTTACTGATTGTCTCAGGACCCCCAAGGACCACACATTTTTAAGGCCTGTTCAATCCTCTGCCATTTCAGCAGCTCATCAAGTCCTCCACATGTGTTGCCCGAATGGTCACACACATACAGTATGCTAAGTGACCCCACAACCTCGACGCCTGTCCCAGGGCATACAGTGCAGCGCAGACTGGAGCTTCGCTGTTGCTTTCGTCAACTGCGACATAATTTATGACGCTTTCATTAAAAGCGACAAGCGAGACAAACGCCCACACACAATCACGGCTGGGTAACGAATGGCCAAAGGAGTTGCTCGGTGAATGTCCCCGGAGTGGGTGTGTATTTTAAATTTGTTTCGGGGCAGACCCAAAGACAAGCGAACTCGCAGGGAACTCGGTTACGTGTGCCAGACAGTTGTCACAGGCAAAAACATCGCTCAGGAGTGGGGCTGCGGGGGAAGGCCGAACGTCGCCGACATTTCACCCCAAACGGTGTCAATTTTTTAATGTCAAGCGTTTAACTGGCGTACCGTTGCACTCCGGTCCCGTCGGGGGCTGCCGTCGCGCTTTGACATAATTAAAGGCCATTAATCACGTGTGCTGATTCAACAACGCCCACTCTGTAAGGCCGGGGATAGGGCGGAACCCCGCTGACCTCTCGAGGGTTAATACAGCCACTTGAACCCCAGGTTGGGGCGGTTCAGGTCGGATCGGTCTGTTCGATTCGGAGGAACGTTGCATTTCACCAGACCCTGTCAAGAAACGGGGCTGCTGTCCTGCCCCAACTTGTGCCCGACGGAACAATTCTTTTTTCAGATACTACGCTTCACTGGCGATTTGCCTCTTTTCAGTTTCGCTCGGGGTTTTTGCCTTTTTATGCAGCAGCATTTTGGCGTCAATTAACGTTCTTTGTTGTGGCGTTACATCGGACATTTTTGGGGGCTAGAGTCATGGCCACGGTCACCTCGTTGGACATGGTCAGAGCCATATAGATGCCGCGTAGATTGGAAATGTCGCGTGGATGTTGCGCTTCATTGCGCCTCAGTTTGTGGTGATTCCCTTCCACAATTACGAACAAAAAATAAAGTAAAACATAAAGTCCAATGCGGCTAGTCAATGCTCTTCACGGGTAGGTCGCAAGAACGCGAAATCAAAATTCATTTTTGGTCTTAGCGAAAAAACAATTAGTTCATTGCATTTTTGTATACTTTTTATATAACACATTTTTTACACATTACACGTCGCCTAGCTTGTGCCGTAGCGAACGTTAGGTTAAAGTGTATAGTGTAACGATATGACAAAACGAATTCTCATATATTCACAATAGCCCCCAGACACATACACACACCCTGAAGCCGGAAATCCCAGCAGAGAGAGACAATGTACATAGATACCAAAAGATATCCGCAGCACGATGGCAGCTTCGGCGCTTATGTAGACTTATGTCGCGCATATTGACCACGAGGGTGGACACCTTTGCTGAACCGACCCACATGATCCCACTGGGGGATTGATTTTTAACGAGCATGAACTCGACGCTCTATCAATTCGTATTTTTTACCGCTTTTGCGGGCTTTAAAAAGTGATGTTTAAAATTATGGAAAAGCTATTTTTAATGGACCTGAATGACTGAAAAATGGGAAGCTTTGTATGGGTTAATTGCCGATCAATTGGAGTGGGGCTCAATTAAACTAGATGATGGTAGATTAGCCTAGGGTATTAGGGCTTAATTGCATTGTGCAACACGGAAAATGTAAACACTATTCGGATTTAAAATTCTAAAATGATACTCAGATAAGAAATGCAGTACTTCGAGCTTAAAGCCTAGTACTCAGATCGGCTAAGAGTTTCACTAGTCGAAAAATTTATTCTTTGTAGTGTGACCGAAGTTTTCAAAGTTCACCCGCAATGCCTGTAGCATGGTCTTACTGTTAAGCGGCTGGGCTTGTTGCCAAACGGAAAAGAAATCAATTGGAGAAATTTAAAAAGGAGGAATCTGCTGGTACAAAAAGAAATTTATATAAAAATAAGTGGAATGTTCAACGAATGTTTTTATTTATGTAATTTAGTAGTTTAAAGCTTCTTTCTCGTCCCATGGATGCTTCGCCATCTTTCCCTCGCCACCGCAGTCCAGCTCCGAGACCCAATGGGCATATTGGACCTTAAGAAGTGGGAGCCGGATTGGGAGCGGGGTTGATCCGCTGATGCTGCAGAAAGTCGCCCAGTATCCTGGCAATCGCTGGCTATGGCTTCCCCAACTGATCCTTAGCGGGCGCCCTATTTTCTCCTCCGTATAGAAGCCAGCGCGTCCTCAGCTCCGCATAAGCTGCCAAGTAGCTAGTGGTGGTGATATCCGCAGTCCTAATGGAGAGGTCGTTGGAGATCGTTGGTGGTTCTGCTAAAAATATACTTCTATTAGTACAACGTAACCAAATCATTTTGGCCAGATCTTACTTTCTTTGCGAGGACGCGCCCGGCACGATGTCCATGTAGGGAGCGAAGTCCCACTAGACATGTTTCTTCACACTGGGATTCCCTAGCGGATCTCCTCCAGCACCTCAACTATTCTGCGAATTGTCCCCTTTTGTGGTATTGCTTCCTGTCGGTGAAATCCCACCATAAATGACAACAGCTTGGATTTGGCGACCTATTTCATCTGCACTGATCCCCTGTATCCGATTTTGGGGTTTTCCTTCCATTTTTAATTTTTAGTTTCCACATCGCCTTTGCACGAACACCGCCAAAGATTAAATTTCTTATTCTTTGAGCTGCGGCTAACGCGTTCATCGAAAATTCTCTCGAGAAATCTGGTATTTTTTCTGGTATTTCCTTAGCCATCTGAGTGCCGCGCTGAAAACAGACCCGACGAAAAGCGTTAGCGAGTATTTGCCTCTCGCTCACTCCTATGGCTAGCTCGCGGTTTCGTCGATCTGAGTACTAGGCTTAAATCGAAAATTTCCAGTGTCAAAACTTCGCCGAGCGTCGAAAATCCCATTCTCGAAAACAAAAAACTGTTTCAAGTAAGAATTTTCAAGACAAAATACACTCGATTGTAGTACGATTTTAGAATCTTTCAGTCTACATGATGTGTGAAGTATTCTTAAGTCTAGAGATATTGGTACTTAAAAAAAGTACAATTTATTATTATAATAAGAATAAACGAGGTCTGTAAAGTTGATCAATACAGACAGTTTAGTAACAATAAAAAATGTTTCTTTACTGTTTCAAATGGTTGTATATGATTTTGTTTTTGCTTTGCTTACTGTTTACGTTTACGGGATGTGTGTATTTTGTCGTTGAAATGGTAAATAGTAGATTAACTATGAAAAATAGTTATCCTAACGTAAAGTCTTCCACACAAAAGTATACAGCAATAACTTTACAAATTGCATCCAATGTGTTTATAATTTCCAACAGCTACCACTAGCTACAGCGGAAAATGGGATCGAACACGCAAATTGATTTATTATTCCCGTGTTTTATGCAGTATTTTTTACGAGCTTAGGTGATTTTTGTACTTAAAGCCTAGGAATTTTTTTAAAAGGAAAGGCATTTGTACTGCAAAGGCGTCATTATAAGAAAGTTGTTGTTGGTGGTGGCCCAAGGATCCTTCCAACGACTCAGAACTCAGCAATTCATCTCATATTGAAAAGAAATATACATTTTTAAGGAAATGGCCAGTCTATATTCTTCTTGGCAAGACCTGAGACCATCAAATTCAAATCAAATTGATACGAACTTATATCAATATGATATACAGGGGTGCTCAAAAGTATTTACACAAGACAAAAGTTAAATATATTCATAATTTTAACATACTTTATATACATTTTGGCATCAATGGAAAGGTCATTTAAATTCCGTTTGAATGATACAAGACTTTTCTTAACCCATTCAGTACTTATTAAAAACGCCGAATTTTTGTGGAAATTTACTTGTTCAACTTTTTTTCACGTCTTGAAACTAAAATTTGTTGATGCCTAAAGTTTCTCCAAGCATAAATAGTTTTTCAAAAATCGATTTGCTTTTTTTTATGATTTTTCGAATGAGACAATGTCAGAAAAAGTATTAGTATTAAAAAGAGAAAAATTTGGCTCGAATGCAAATTTCCAAACATATTTAAAATATTCAGAAAAAAATTGCACTTAATTCGCTATACTTAGGGTGTCACAGGCAGCTGGCCTTGAATTTTAGAAAATACATTTTTAATTGGGAATCGGAGTTATCGAACCACAATTTGTCCTATTGCGTTTTGTCCATTTTGATGTCATGGCCTCCACATCTTGCTGTCTCGTTCACTGGCATATGTAAATATCCAAGCCAATAGGTGTGAACATATACCAACAAAATACCACATGTACTATTTAAAAGGCGTGTTTAAAAAGGTGCCTAATTGAACAAAAAAAATGTGCGAATAAGGCCTAGTATTCAACATAAAAAAAACTAACCCAAAAAATACTATTTTCCAACCATTATACCTTAAGGATCCA